AGTGACTAGAGCGTGGAGGTATGTTCAGTCCTCCATGGTGTGTGTGTGTGGGGGGGGGGGGTAGAACAGGATCAGCTCATGATTTCAATGCATCCATGATAGTAATGGCCTTATCCCAAGTCATCATGCACCCAATGCACATAATAAACCACACTTTGGATTCAGCCTTTATCTTAAAGTAATGAAGCAGAACCTGGCAGTTGAGGATATTTCCATCAGTTCTTTGTCACAGAGAGGTAATTTCCTGGTGACCATGAAGCTAGTTGGCACCACTGACTTCCTTAGGGGGAACGATCAATTAAGAAGGTCCACTCCAAAGTACTTTTGGATCCTGAAGATTGTGAGCAGTTCCTTGGGGATCTTCCCAACTATCTGATAGGCAATTCAACCAGGAGCCTAGTCAATCTATGGAATACAGTGAGGGCACTTGACAGAATTGTTCCTAAGAGCACTCTCCCTATATGTTGATCCCCAACAGCTCCTCAATAAACTGAGCTGAAAGGGTAGAAGAGAAGCTTTGAGAAAGACAAAGAATGAATATGACCAAATATGGGTATAAGTCTACACTATGGGAGTAAGGGCAGCAAAGTGTTGCTAGTTCTCTGGCCTTATTGCATCTTTCTCCCTTGCTGTGGAACATTTTATTCCCAGGGTTAGGATGGCCCCTTCTCTATTGTCTTTTTGAAAGACATTCAAAATCATGCTTTTCCACTAAGCCTTTAGAGCAAAGCATACAATTTAATTGGAAGAATCCAAATTAAAGGAGTAGATCAGACAGCAAGGAACACAGCAACTCAGATCCAACACTGGCAAGTTGTATCCAACAGAAAGGCTGTCACTGGCAGCTTTCTTAAATAGGCCAGATACAGATATGGCTGAATTATGGAGGTTCGTGTCCTGATTGCTCTTGTTTAGCTCTCCAAAGCTGCCAATACACCTGGCCAGGACCTGGCCCCTGGTCACCTGACTCCTCTTGTATCTGCTCCTGCTGGTTATCTGCTACATCAGCCTCAGATGGTTCATAACTGCCAGTTCCTGAGACTGCCAACTTGCTGGATCAGGCCCCTCAGCCTTTGACTCAGGGGAATGAGAGGAATCCATATAACTCATGAAAGCTTGGCAAACATCTAGTAATAAGATTCTGGAGATTCTTTTTTTTTTTTTTTACAATACTGGATTGTATTGAGGATCCTTAAAGGGTCAGAATGTTTCCTATTAAAGCATGAAGGTAACCTGATTATACTGTATTTCGTATTAAAAATAATAAAGTTGGAATAAAGTTGGTTATTCTGTGAGCCAGAATCGAAATTAAATCTTGGCTACAGGTTGATATACCTTTCATCAAAAATAATTTCTCATGTATGGTTCAAGACTAACCAAAGGGAAGAATGCATTCTTAGCAAACAAATTTCTGAAGAGATGTATTAAATACAGCATAGCCCATACAAGAATTGCAAAAGTCCATTTTACTCTCACCCTCTTCAGCATCATCCTCTTGCAAAGAAATCTGATCAGCAAAGCTTAGTGGACTAATTGCTTCTTCCTCTTTTTCAGAACTGCAATGCAGACTCAAGACTTCATAGATCGCATCTCCAGCATTTGTACTGCCTTTCCCTTCACACTAAATACAAATGACAAAACCACCCTTTAGCCTAAGCAACTCTAAATACTAAATTGATTGTTCCATTTTTTTCCTGTATAGGAATGAAAAAGTAATAGTTTAAGTAAAAAAAACCAATTCTGTTGGCTTGACTCCATTAAGCCACTACTGTTGCTTGCTAACATTGTAGCTAGTTTAAAGCTTGATATGCTAAGAATACAAAAAGAAAGACTATATGTTCAAAGTAAAGGAAGTTAGATAAAACAAGCAGAATAAAATACAATGCAGCCCACTTAAAGAATTTTTTAATGGCCCTGGTGATTTGCTTAATTATATTAAGCAAATCACCGGGGCCATTTAAAAATTAAAGAATAATTTTTCTGCCTGAAACATTTTGCTGCCTGAAGCAGAGGAGCAAAAGCACCCATTCAAATATCCAAAGCCAAGTTCCTTAAGCAGAAAATCTATAAACTCCTCCTGTCTATCCTAAGGAGTAAAAAATACTGTAATGATATGCTAATAACAAACGATTCACTGTCTGTTCAGGATACCCAAAACATGCTGCCCAAAGCAGGCTCTGCACCCTGTCTAATAGTAGGGCCAGCTCCCAGACAGCTGTTCAATGCAATATTACAAACAATAATGATGGCAAACTCAAAATAAAGAACATATCAAGTTACCTGCCAAAAATCTAAGTGAACCAGACAGCTTGATTGATGCCTAAAGGGTAACAAAAATGGTTCTAGGTGAATCTTCCTTAGATGAAGTTCCATGATTCAGGTAGTCCTCGCTTAACAACCACAATAGGGACCGTAAAATTCATTGTTAAGCAGGGTGGCTGTTAAGCGAGTCATGCCCAATTTTACAACCTTTTTTGCAGCGGTCATTAAGCAAATCACACAGTTAAGCAAATCACATGGTTCTCCATTGATTTTGCTTGCTGGAAGCCGGCTGGGAAGGTTGCAAATGGTGACCCCAGGATACTGCAACTGTTGTAGGTACAAGCTGGTTGGCACGCAGCTGGATCATGAACATGTGACCACGGTGGTGCTGTGAC